ACCATTCTGTGAGGTGAGCCAGGTCTTAGGGATGAAAAGCAATCAGATGTCCCTGATTGTTCATAAGCCTGAGGGGTAGCAGACTGGCTTGTGCCATGCTGCACCGAGTCTCTAGGTGCTCTGGTTGTGGCTGTTGCATTATGCTTTGTGTTTGTTCTATACCACAACCCCACATCCACCCTGTGTTTCAGTGTTGGGCTCTGTCTCACAGTAGAGTCAGTCTTTCCACCCAGACCTCCTCCATGCCCTGTGGCTACAGCTGCCCTGGTGGAGGTATGATTCTGGAGATGTTCCCAAAGCACTGGGCTGGGAGGTACAGCCAGGCAGGGTCAGAGGGCTGGGGAGGTGTTGCTCTGTCCTGTACTTGGGGCACGGAGATGGAAGAAGCCCAGAGCTCATTGCTGGCTGCAGTTAGCCTGGGGTGCTGGCTGCGTGAATGGGCAGTAGATGGGTCCTTAACAAGATCGTTTTAGGGCTGAAGCCTCTTCTTTCCTCACAGAAAGTTAGGGGTTGGAAGAGACCTTTGTGGGTCATCTAGCCCCCCCCCCCTGCCGAAGCAGGGTCACCTAGAGCAGGCTGCACAGGACCGCGTCCAGGTGGGGCTTGAATATCTCTAGAGAAGAAGAATCCACAACCTTCCTGGGCAGCCTGTTCCAGTGCTCCGTCACCCTCAGAGTGAAGAAGTTCTTCCTCGTGTTCAGGTGGAACTTCCTGTGCTTGACTCACTGCTGTGAGATTACCTGAGCTAGAATGTTAGGCATGTCCCATTGCTCTTGGAGAGGCTGAGCATCAGGCTACCCTGTGAGGCTGGTCCTTCTGGGGATGGTAATCAGCTCCTGCCTCATCTGACGGGTCCTCTTCTTCATCTTCAGCTCTGCTAGGGTGATGGAGCCTGTTGAGATGTCCCAAAGCTGATCATCCCAATGACGTTGGAGCTGAGTAGGTCTCCTCTCATCCTCCCTAGGTGGCCACTTCCCACTCCCTGATTGCTGGGGACAGGGCCAAGCCACCTCCTGGGCTTGCAGCTGGTTGTCCCCGCACCATGCCCCTAGCCCTGACAATAACCCTCACAGGGCGACAGTGACTGCTCTGTTTACTGTTCAGGGCTCAAAGATGATTTTTAAAAGAGCAAAGATGACTTCTGCCTCGGTGCCCACAAGTGAACGTGCTGGGAAGTTTCCAGGCATGGTCTCAAGGTCTGACTCCTTTTCTTGGTGGCTCCATTCCCCACAGACAGCTGGGGCTGGAAGATGCTGGTTAAATACCCCCAAAATGTGACAGCAGCCTGGGCTGGACACGGGGTGAGCATCACTCCCGCTTGGAGCCATGAGCCAACTCAGCAAGTCTGAGCAAGGGCAGGAGTGCAGCCATGTGCTCCTGCAGCTTGGAAAGCCATCAGCACAGCACCGGGGCGGATGTAACTGGAGCAGATGTTCATTACTGAAATCACAGAATCACAGAATGGTTTGGGTTGGAAGGGACCTTTAAAGGCCATCCAGCCCAACCCCCTGCCATGAGAAAGGACATCTTCAGCTGGATCAGGTTGCTCAGAGTCCTTTCCAACCTGGCGCTAAATGTTTCCAGGGATGGGGCATCGACCACCTCTGTGGGCAACCTGGGCCAATGCCTCACCAGCCTCACTGTAAAAAAATTCTTCCTTGTATCTAGTCTAAATTTACCCTCTTTTGGTTTAAAACCATTACTCCTTGTCCTACTGCAAAAGCTCCTGTTAAAAGGTTTGTCCCTGTCTTTTTTATGGATCCCCTTTAAGTACTGAAAGGCCGCAATGAAGTCTCCCCGCAGCCTTCTCCTCCCCAGGCTGAGCAGCCCCAG